CTTAAATCAGTTTGGATATTTTATAGTTTAACATGTTGCAGAAACCCAGTCATTTACTTTGCATGTTGTGTGACTCACGCTACCACATTAAAACATGTTATGAAAACAGAACAACTGTGTATTGTTATTTTGGATTTGGGGTTAAGCATATTGTAGGAACCTAGGAACAAGAGGCAAGGTAGTTAACACAGACCATACTCTCTGGGACGGCTGGATGCTAAAATTCAACAATATCTTGAAAATCACATCTATATAGTAGAGATTACTTTAAGCAAATGGTCTGACCTAGGATAAAAAATGTCCTTTTTTCTTAAAGTCATATATGCTGTAATCTATTGCAGGAGACAAATTTTTCCTGATTTGGTTCATGAGAAAGAATAATCTTAAAACTTGTATTAGCCTGTCTCTAAAGAGAACTATCAATCTATTCTAATGGACAGTCTATAGGATTTCCCTGACACTATTGAATCTTCCTATGTCCTAGATTTCTGCAGGATTCTTACCTTTTTGAGCTTCTTGGTTTTGATTTCTACTTCCTGCTGCAAAGAAGTGAATGTCTCCCGGAGCTCCATGGTTTCCTCATCTCGCAAAAGCACTTCCTGTTGCATTTCCCGCTCATGCCGCTTCTGTGTTATAGAATCAGGCCAAAATCCCTGTGTCAGAATACAGTCTTGCTACCTCCCACCAGAGTGTTAGAAGATACAGCAATCCCTGGCTCCATAAACAAGCATTCCAGTCCAGCCTCCATGATCTGCTTGGAAGGTTGCTTGTATTTTGAAAGAGGCCAAGGGTCATATCCATTTCACATTGGTTTGAGAAAGAGTGGGACACCCGGAAGAAAAGTTGAGGGGTCTGCGGCTCATCCAAATCCCAGCTGGTCCTTACCTGCTCTGCAATTTCCTGTCTTTTCAGTTCAAGCATCTTTTGCTGCTCATTTGTATGGTCCATGATGTTCCTTCCACCAATCAGCAATTTGCTTTCCATTGCCTGAAGACAAGAAGGGAAAATTATCTTTAGATTATGGCAAATGATTCCATGCTTTAACCAGTACAGTGCTTACATGCACAGTTGATCAGCCTAACATTTCTGAACAATTGTTCTATTTGAGAATGTTTATTCCCCCTCTCAAGTGATTTAATTCATTTGAAAGGATTAAATATGTAATCAATGCTATAACCAATATTTAATAGACACACTATAAAGGTCAAACTGTTACCGCAAATATTGCCAGTTTAATTCTTGGATCACAAAATCTTAGATTATATTCTAGCCTCCTTCAACCTCCTGGTTAGCACAGTAATAAGTGCATTGGTATGTCCTGCTTCAATTCTTCCTGCCAAATCTTGAGGTAGTAATTGGAGAAATGAAGCTGTATGCAGAACCTGGAACAAATCAATTACTGTACTTAAATAATTCAGAAACCCATATTTTTCTGGTGGCACACAAATAGCCAATTAACAAAGGCTGGGTTCTCATGATTTGCTTAACCAAATCGTTTAATAATCTAACAGCTGCATTTGCACAACTGACTTTATTTTTTTTAAAAAATGTAGTTTAGCAGAATGTGAATAAGCAGCATTGTTAGTTTGCGGTTCAGTGTATTTATAAAATCAGAACATTGAATGAATTCATAAAGAGGTTGGGCAGTGGTTAAATGCAGCACTGCAGGCTACTGCTAGATCAGCAGTTCAGCGGTTCAAATC